TGAACAGATTACGTAATTTTAATTTGTATTCCACGTAAAATTTTATAAGAGAATTATTTGAAATCCTGAATAATTATAAAATTATTAAATGTGAATTTTTATTTCAATATAATAAGTTATATAATAGCGTTAACAGAAATTTTTATTAGAGTTCGATTTATTTCGCCTGTGTTCATCAATTGTGATCGTAAAAATGTTTTCCAATAGTGTCTTTGTTGTTCTGTAATAGTAAAAATTCTGCAGCAGTAAATTAAATATTAAGAAATTTACTTTGACAAAAACTATCGAAGGTTATTTTTGTTTAACTTAGATTTTCTGAAAAACCGATAATATTGTTCTACATTCCAGGTTTAATAATAACAACCAGGAATGTTTAATATTATTATTAAAAATCCTACGCAACCAGGTTTAATAATAACATCCAACAAAGCAATTAACTAATTCATTCAATATTTGCCGGCACCTTACAATTTTAATTAGTAAGTTTCGAACCAATATTCCTTAATAATATAATTTTCATTGAATCAAATTAAATAACTTTCGTTTTTTATTTAAAATTAAAAAAAAAATATTAAAAAAACACTAAAATTTTAACACTAATTAAAACGAAATTATTAAAACAAACATTTTAATTAATTATAATAATAAAATGAGAATGCAAAATTAATTTTATCCTTTTAAAAATTTTTTAGGTATGCAATGTATTTATTCAATGAAATGAACTTTAATTGAAAGAATAATTGTTTAAACTTCTTATATAATTAAAATTTGTTTTAAGTATATTATTTTCAACTCTATTTAAATAAGAAGAAAACGAAGTGCTAGCAAAGTATTTAATGTTATTAAAATTGAGAAAAAAAAGAAGTTTCCAACATTTTTTTTTCTTAACAAATTAATACGAGTATAAGAACTTTACTCTTCTATATATTGCATGAAAAATGAACATTTTCCCTTTTTATTTTCTTGTACAAAAAATAGAGAGGGAGTCAATATTTTAAGAGCATATAAAAAGGTGGAAAATGTGATGAAAGTATTACAAGTTTCATTTAATCTGGCAAGTTTTTTAATTATCAGTGAGGAAGTTTATGTTATGTAGGTCTAGGTATATCAAATAGTTAAATTTTGATTTATTTCAAAATTAACTTTTAATGAGTAAGTACGGAGCGAACAACATCATACAATACATTAAAAAAGAGTTTTATTGGCCAACGGTAATTTAGATTTCGTAAATATTAGTGCACAAATTATTTTGATAAAGCTATCAAATTTTTTAATGATTCTGTCAATATGGACGCCAAATTTCAACTTTTTGGCCAAGTATAACTTTAAATATCTCACAGAGTCTCTTAATGGGATATTCATTACCAGATTCATCTCTGGAAGATAACACTGATTTCTACTTCTAGACAAAAATATAAACTCCGTTTTAGAAGTATTTTTAAATATCTCCCACTCACTAAAATAGTCGTAGATTATATCGAAAGCATTATTCAAATTAGATACAATATGTAGTAGTGAGACATCCGAAAAACTGATTATAGATGTAATTCTTTTAAGCTGACCATTCGTACAATAGTTAAGCATAAACTCGAATTGCTCTGGTTGAATCACATCTTCGTCAGCAACACGACCTTGCATTCTCTTCTTTAGACACTTCTCCAAAACTTTTCCCAAAATATCCAAAAGGCCTGCATTTTGCCAATTCCGAACAGTTTTTACCCTGATTTGACAGTTAACGTAAACTTCTTTCCACGTGTTTTTATTTTCTAGACAAGCGTCGGTAGGAATGTAATAAAAATCACAGCCTTTGGCAATAAATTTTTTAATAATAAATTACCTATGCCATTCAGACCTAAAGCCTTCCTCCTTAAGTTCAACTCAGGAAGAAACTCCTGCAATTCTTTAAGATACTTCTCGTCTCCGACGGAGTAATGACCCAAAAAGATGTGACGTTCTGCTCGTTTACCTGAGCTACGGTCAGTTGACGGTTTACCTATACCTTGCATTATTTCTTTTTTAAAACAAATAATTGTTCCCCCGCCCCATATAGCGGATATTATAAAATAAATTCACTATAAAATTTGAAATTAATAATTAAATTTGATTTATTGATCTTTAATTTAATAGGTTTATGTTTAATTTGAATGAAATTTGAAATTTGAATTTACATTTTTTTATTGTAATGCAAAAAATAACCAAAGAAAAAAGGAAGTGGATTTATCATTAATTAATGAGGTTAGTTATATGTCATGACCAAATAGAACTTTGTTAAAAATTCAATAGAAATATTGTAATTTATTACACTTCTATTTATATGACACAATAGAATAATTATATTTCTTTATATTAATTATCTAATTCAAAGGTCAATAAAATGTTCACCTATAAAGGTTAGTATTATAATTATTATATAACATATGTATTGTGGGTACTATTTGCTATATGTTTTTATTAACACCTCTATTAACATATTACGCCACAGTAATTACAAAGGTTAAAAGGTTTTGAAGCAAAATTTTGTAACTTTTTTTTTTTCTTTTGATAATTTTATTTTTAAAATCAAAAAAAAAATCTATATATATTTTTAACTCATTGACATTCTGAATCGACTTTTTCAGAACCAGAGCCTCATAGAAATGATTAACAAAAATGTATTGCAACAAAAGTTGTAAATTTTCAGCGAGGTGATGGTCAATTGCGTGAGTGAATAACTAGTGGTCCATATGTTCCAATGCTAGATTAATATAAAAAGTAATCTGTCATATTACTCTTCGCTGGGTATAGAGTAAAGGCACCAGCCAACCTCTAATAGGTTCCAACCCCTTAGTCCCCAACTGGTGGTGTGGCTGTATAAGACAGTGGTATTGCCAATGGTAAAATATGCTGCTTGTTTATGGTGGCCCAAGACGCAGCAGGCGGGGTCCAAATTGTCCTTAACAGGATACAAGAGTCTGGTGAGGAAGTTACATTGGATGAGTGGCTCCTGGAGGCGTCAGACTTCTTAATTAAGATGATTAAATGCGAGAGGAACTTTCGGGTAAGATCGGCGGATCGCGGGCATTCCTTATATTGTAAGGCGGAGCCGTTCTTCACTGAGGGTTCTATCGTGGTTTGTCACTTGGCACTGGCCCTTTAGCTCATATATTGTGCATACCGGACCTGTTAAAATTTATCGGGAGCCTTAATCTTGAGTTCTAATGATCTGGTCGAGGTGCTGAATAATAACGTAACATAACATATAATAACTTGTTATATTAGCCCATTACAATATCAAGAGGAAACAATTACGCAAAATTATTTAATTTAGATACATGCAAAAGATTTTTGAATAAAAAATTTAATAATATTAAATTCAACTTATAAAAAATTCAAAATTGGAAGCGAGGGTGTATGAAACCACAAATTTTTAAATAACTTCCTATTATACTAATAAATAATGTAAAGTTAATTAATTGATCCAATATTCTTTTATGTGCACACATTGTATATACTTAATGTACATTTATTTTATATCTTATAAATATAAATAAGTTTAGTAATTCCATACAATTTTTAGTTTTGTTTTCTCAAAACAACATTTAAAAATAATAAAAACAATGTCCTTATAAGTGTTATATACATTTAAAATTATTACTATATAGTTTTTTTCCTTGTTGTATTTACTATTTTAAATGACATGCGAATATTCTTGCATATGACATAATGGATAAAAAATAATAATTTTGTTATGTATGTATTAATAATGACTTCAATAATTAATGATTGTACACATTAAATACAAAAATTTTTGTCAAACGTGTTAAAAAAAGTAGAATAACATATTACATAACATATGAACAATAGAATTCAATAGTATTATTGCACTATATGAATTCTATGTAATATAAAATACATTACAACAGGATATTGTAGAAAAACATGAGGTATACATGTAATGTATACATATAATAGTAAGGTACAGTGCATCATGTCATGTTATGTAAGAAAAAGATTTTTCTATAGGTACATTACTTCTTGCCCACAAATCTTTAAGCTCAATAATTTTCACAATTAATTTGTAAATTCCATGCGAAATGCAGTAAATCAAACACTTCTGCCAGTATCCTGTTTGCCTACGGTGAAAATTTATCCAATATCGCTCCGCAGTTATTTGTAAAAAATTACAAATCGATTACTGTGTCGATTAATAGCGTATAAACCGACAAATTATTGACAAGTCTGTTAAGTCTATTTTTCTTGGCAGTATTGTCTTAAAAACTAGCGTTTATAAATTTCTCTTATTAAAATATTGAACCTATGTTAAGTATGCTAAAATTAATTTTTATTCCATATAGACACACAGTTAACATGTAAAAAAAACCTTACAAAATTAACATGTCGTAAACCAACATATGTACGTCATTAAATTAAATTTAAATTGAATTAAGGAAAAAAAAATTATAATAAAATATGTAAAACACAAGAGGACACGAATTGAACAATAAAAGTACCTAGATATTTCGTATTAACAATTACAAAGGCTCTAGAATTTATGCAACGGAAATTACTATAGAAAAATCATTATTACAAATTAATTGCAAAAAATTTTTTCATGAATTCAAGGACATTTTTGAGCACAAGAGTTTCTGTAAAGATTTTGTGACCATAATAAGGGTTTTCCGAGCTTCCCTAGATCACGTGATGTGCGTTGGCATCGCTCCCAATGATAGTAAGATACAGTGCACCATGTCATGTTATGTGGTCCAGAACAGGGAGGAAACCGCAAAGGCGTCTGTTCAAACACCGCTTTCATCAGAAGCAGAAATACTGGATGGGTCGGATCTGACAGACGACGACGTCATGCATCTCGACCTGGAGGGGGCCCTGCTGGACCTGGATCTCGACGACGATGCAGAGAAAACGTTGGTGGGGGTTGACGAAAGCAGTAATGCATCGAATAATCCAGATCAACCTCCATCACTCTAAAACGGCATCGGCTGCGCTCCTTCTCCGCCTACTAAATGACGAAGAAGACACAGTTCTGGTCCAGGAAACCTGGCTGGCAGGTGGAAGGATCTGCGGACTCAGGACGGCGAACTATAAGCTGTTTTATAGCAACAGCGACGGAAAGGTAAGATCAAGCATATTAATTAAAAGTAACTTAAATGCTGTTCTGTTGCCTCTTTACAGCAATGAAGATTTGACTGCAGTCAGTCTCGAGGTCGGTGGCAGGATCTCCTGGTGTGCCTCAGTATATCGGCCCTATGATTCCCAGGGGATGCTTTCACCTAGCAATCTGAGAGACCTGGTGGAGGCTCTAGAATTTATGCAACGGAAATTACTATAGAAAAATCATAATTACAAATTAATTGCAAAAAATTTTTTCATGAATTCAAAGACATTTTTGAGCACAAGAGTTTCTGTAAAGATTTTATGACCATAATAAGGGTTTTCCGAGCTTCCCAGATCACGTGATGTGCGTTGGCATCGCTTCCAATGATAGTAAGGTACAGTGCATCATGTCATGTTATGTAAGAAAAAGATTTTTCTATAGGGACATTACTTTACCTCGACCAATATTATTTCAGTTTGGAAATTTTTCCGCATTCATTCTGTTTATCTTCATATTGTGTACACAAAACTTCAGCATAAAATAACAAATAACCTCATAGAAATACTAATTTTCTCATAACAAATAGTGTTCATTGAAATTATAAGATACTACAAAATGTTATAGAGACTTTTAGGAATGTTATACGAGTATAGATTTTTAAAAACAATGGGTACTGGGCAATCATGAACAATTTTTAGAATAATTCTATATTTCTTCTTAATTGTACTAAAAATTCCTTAAACTTATGAAACTTAATCGGTTGGAAGATGTTAGTATAATTAAAATTAAACCAAAATTTGTTCAGGGACAAAAAGTATATTCTACATCTTTTATATTGTGTGTTGTTAATATTACAAGTAATCAAAAAGAACATCATCCCTGATCGATTTCGTTATTAACACAATAATATTTATTCTTCTTTTTACTCATTTCACTTTGATTATAACATAATATAAAACATAAATACTAAAGAAAAAATATAATCTCCATTATGATTATTATTATTGTATTCTATAAATTGTATCCTATAAATATGCAATTTGCATGTATAATTGAATTGAAAATTATGAATTATGTATTGCACGAATGGAAATGATAAATGATATTAAATTCAAATTATGTTTTACTATACTCGTAATTTCTTAAAAATATGTTTTTAATTACCATATTTATGACAGATATTATACGCAATTCGGGTAGCTATACCTATACAGAATATTCTGAATGTATTTTCAATGCAGATACTTTCCATAACAATAATAAAATTATAAAAATTTGTACTAATATTTTGAAACAAACATACAAAAACGAAATTAAATAGAAAATTATTCAATTTAATAAAAAATTATAAATTTTATGTTATAAAATCTGTTTATAGCACAAAATCACAGTAAAAATTTTGAATATAATTTGTTATATAAAATTATATTCCAATTTTACATTATTGAAATACTGAATTTCAAATTGCATGCATGTATGTAAAATGTAGAATAATTTTAAATCATGTGGACTGTAAATTATATTGTGTTTTGTTTTATAATTTTATTAAAACAAAAATTATGCAAAATAATAACGGCATTTGGTTAAATTACAATATTACAATATAAATGTACATTAAAGAACGTTGGAAAACTGGACCATATGCATCAAGTAGAATAATAGTATGAACCTAGGCATATAACAATTTATGTAAAAAACCACCTGTCAGGATTTGCAGAGGGTTTTGGAATTCATCGTTCTACAGTGTGTAAGAAAGCAAATAAATGAATTTAATTCCTATCAACTCCTGTTAATTAACTAACTTCTGCAGAGCTTGCTAACGGGTGTCCTACAGCTTCGATATCACTCTGAGATAGTAGATAAATCCACTGAGACATAGTCCACCGTCTGCGCCACATATCCGCTAGTTTTCAGTATGGCCACGTACCGTATAAGAACCACCGAAAAACTGGTGATGTAGTCATTAGGCGTACAGCCAATCTTGCACCAATCCACTATCCGAACGCGAGCTCGTGCCTGGATTCCAGCTGAGCCGTCAGACATGGATACAATCTTAAAGATGATACAGCTGGGAAACACAAACCTGCCAACTGCCAACTGGAGGGTAGCCAAACTAGAAGATAAGAAGGGCGACTATAGACATGCTCTCGTTATATTGAATAAATAAAAGCTGGCTCCTCTGCAGAAGCCTCTTGCCTCTTTACAGCAATGAAGATTTAACTGCAGTCAGTCTCGAGGTCGGTGGCAGGATCTCCTGGTGGGCATCAGTATACCTGCCCTATGATTCCCAGGGGATGCTTTCACCTAGCAATCTGAGAGACCTGGTGGAGAAATCGCGGTCTCTTGGCACTGGTCTCATCATTGGGAGCGATGCCAACGCACATCACGTGATCTGGGGAAGCTCAGATACCAACACTAGATATGAGTGACCTTTTGATTTTATCGTGAGCACTAACCTCCCACTATGTAATAGAGGCTCAGAGCCCACATTCGTTACTAAAAATAGGCAGGAGGTTATAGACATAACCTCCTCCATAGACGAACTGGAAAGTATCGCAAGAGCATTCCTTTTTGGACCATCGCTATATAGAATTTAAATTCGTTGCTAGACACAATTCTCCTTTGACTTTCAGGAACCGCAGGCGGACTGATTAGCCAAGGTTCCGAGACTCGCTAAGCGATCTCCTTGGATCCGGGGTCCCTTCACGTCCTGAGACGCCTGCGGACCTCGACAGTATGGTTTCTACGCTCACTGGAGCCATAAATGGCGCCTCTAGGGAGGCGTGCCCGGATAAGAGGCAACAAGAAACCACAATGGTGGTCCGATGGGTTAAACGCCCTTCGTAAAAATTGTAGAACTTAGTTTAACAACGCGAAGTTCACCGGGACACCATCTGATTGGTGCGCTTATAGGGATGATCTAAGGAAGTATAAGAAGGAGTTAAGGAGAGCTCAAAGGTCGTCCTGGAGGGAGTTTTGCGGCAGGATTGGAGAGACTACGGAGGTCTCCAGACTTCGGCGGGTCTTGGCAAGTGACCCAGCCGTGCCGAGCTACTTGATGGCTGCTGGCGGCTCCTGGACTAATTCCGCTTTGGAGTCTCCGGGGCTGCTCTTGGATACGCACTTTCCTGAAGGTCACGCAGATCATGCTCCGAATAGTCATTTTGGCGAGTCCTGCGCGGGAGCAGTGATCACTGCAGGGGGAATACTCTGGGCCATTTGTGGATTTGATCCATTTAAGTCGGCTGGCCCTGACGACATAGTGCCAGCAGAACTACAATGCGATGCGGAGGTCATTCTTCCTTTGTTAAAGATCATCTATGAGTGTTGTATAGACTTCACCTACATTCCAAAAACGTGGATTGTTGCTAATGTGGTCTTCATCCCTAAGGCTGGGAGAAGTTCTCACAGCTGCCCAAAGGATCTTAGACCTATCAGTTTAACGTCTTTTCTTTTAAAGATATTTGAAAAGTTGATGGACGTATACATAAGGAGTAACCTTAACCCAAGGCTTATACCTCCGGCACAACATGCGTATCGTAAGGGGAGGTCAACGGAAACGGCCCTCCACTCTTTGATACACTACATTGAAAAATCTCTGGACTGCAGAGAGTATACGATGGCTGCCTTCCTGGATATTGAGGGCGCATTTAACAAAGTCGAGTCGTGGGCTATCACTCAGGTGCTGTCGGGGCTCTCGATTCATGGCTCTCTGATTGCTCTGATAGGCAACATGCTGTCAGGTAGAACCATCAGGACAAGCTTTGGGGAATCATGCATTGAGCGCTCCGTTGGTGGGGGCACCCCGCAAGGAGGTGTGCTTTCTCCTCTTCTCTGGAACCTCGTAATTAATCAATTATTGGTATGCCTGGAGGGGGACGGCTACAAGATGAAAGCTTACGCTGATGACTTGACTGTTGCGGTGTCTGGAAAACACTTTCATGCCCTAAGTGGGCTGATGCAGAGAGCCCTGACCCTCGTGTCTGGCTGGGCTGTCGGCTGTGGGTTGACTATCAACCCACAAAAGACGGAACTGGTTATTTTCAGTAGGAGACATAAGATACCAACAATAACACTGCCGACACTCAACGGAATCCGCTTATGCTTTAGCAGGGAGGCTAGATACCTGGGTCTAATTCTTGATTCAAAGTTGAACTGGAGGTCCAACGTTATGGAGAGAATAAGGAAGGCAACTATTGCGCTTTGCTCATGTAAGAACGCCGTCAGGAAGAGGTGGGGCGTAAAACCAAGCATAGTTTATTGGCTATATACCGCAGTGGTGAGGCCGATCCTGAGCAATTAGATGTTGAGCTCTTTTTCCGTCTGCCGGATCACTGTAGTGTATTTCAGGCCGAGGCTCTTCGCTTGCTTGGGTGCAACGTCGTATCGGCTGGTGGCGTCAGTATTTTCACTGACAGCCAGGCCGCGATAAGGGCACTGGGCTCTGAGGTTTCCACGTCTAGAACGGTCCTGAACTGCAGGTCGTCTCTCAATGAGATGACAGGGCAGTTCGAAATAAACTTGGTCTGGGTCCCCGGACAGAGTGGGGCTCCGGGAAACTGCAAGGCGGACGAGCTTGCGAGGCATGGAACTACTCTGGGGACTCCACCTGAAAAGGAGAACTTGGGCATGCCTCTAAGAACCCTAGGGCTGCTGCTGCGCAATGCGGCATTGATAGATGGGCTAATGGAGCAACGTGTAACGCGACAAGAAATTTGTGGTCAGAGTTGGATTTACGTCGCATAAGGGATCTGATCTCTCTCAGAAGGGAGGATATCAGTGCTATGGTAGGGGTACTGACGAGCCATTGTCTGATCGGCGAACATGCAAGGAGAATAGGCCACCCCGCAAACGATCTTTGTAGGAGTTGCTGTGGCGAGGGGGAGGAGGAAACGGTGACCCACCTTCTATGCTCATGTCCGGCACTGGCGAACTCCAGGCAGAGATTCCTTGGGTCATACTTCTTCGGGCACGGTTCTGATGAGGAGCGGGAGGGAAGAGATCCAGCGGTACCACAA